ATTTTCATTTGCCTGCTTACATTGGCCTCTCTGTTTTTGCCTGTTGTTTACTTTTTCAGTTGGAACCCCTTGCATACCAATCATAATTGTTTTCAATTCCCAGTCTTAATTTCAATATCCCTACCACATCTGAGTTACTTCTGATGCCTGTGCTGCCTCTTCAACTGTGAAAATTTTATTTTTGTTTATTTTTTCTTTTAGTGTACCTTGAATTTTGTTGTTGTTGTTGATGTTGTTAAAAGTGTGGCATTGCACACTGGTTAAAAGAACACCAGTAAATAGGCCTTTAGAGTTGTTGTTGGTAAGATGTAGGGGGAGGAGAATCATTCTATAATCCTGTGATTCCATCTGTTTCCCAGTTTGTCACAAGAGCTTCTTTTCCCATCCCTTCCTGTGGGACCAGAGTGCTGCAAGGATCTGAACCACCAGTTCCTCTTTCCTCAGGTTCATTAGGATCTAAGAATATACCAAGAGGTTAGACTCTGCTTAAGAGTCTCTGTTAAAAGAAGTCCTTGTTTAGAATAGAATTCTCTGCTATATTTCTGTATGTTACTTTTCCCTTCTCCTGCTAGAAGCAAAAGGGGATATTTTTCCATCTTTATTCTAAAGACTCAGTACTGCACCTGGAGATAAAACTCACAGAGGTATTTCAGCCCCACTAGGACCAGCTCCTCTGTGACTTGGACCTCTCTGTTTGGTCTGCACTGAGCCTCAAGAGAGTTGAGGCTTCCCTATCTGGTCTCAGTTCCCATTCTGCTCATGGTTTCTGCTCCAGTGAATTCTTCCTGTGTCACCAACATTGAGGGGGAGAATTTTTTTTTCCTATCACCTTTCTTCTCTGAAGAATCTAAGAAGGGTGGTTGATTTTTCAGCTTGTTCAACTTTTTACTTGGTAAGCTGAAGCATCAGCTTTTAAGTGGCTTATATGTCAGATCAGAAACAGAAAGCCTGGATGTTTATAATAAAATTGGGAGTCAGGTGTTCCTAGGAGAATCATCAATAATAAAGAAGCTGCCCTCTCTTTCCTTCCATTGTTCCATGTTAATTTCAATTTTTGTTTAAAAAAAATAGGAATTTTTTGTTTTTTTGCTGTTTTAAACTTAATTGGCTGTCAAATGTTGGTAATCATTCCAGGAAGTTTAATACAATGGATTGATGGGTGGAAGAAATCTAAGTAGTACCATAGCTTTCTCAGTTGGGGCATTAAGTAGAGAAAATGTATGGGTACTGTTTGACCTTGCAGAGCCAGGGATAGAGTATATGCCTCAGGTGAAAGCTAAAAAAGACTTTCTATGATTTCCTAGTAGTTGCTGGAGCTAGCAGCAATAATAGGTACTCAGATATGTCATCAAACATGATAGTGCTTTGGCTCAATTTGCAATTTTTAATATAAAAAGTGATGGCAGCTATCAAACTCTAGGAGTGTGTTCACAAATAAGTTGCATATAGTTTACCCTGAAAAGTATCTTTATTCAATAAGAGTTTAGAATCTCTGACTCCTCTTACAAGCTTTCCTATTTTATTAGGTTTCCACTTTTAACCATTAGCACATATTTGGTAATGGATTTAGTATATTGAGAAAAGAATTTCTTGTCATTGGGAAAAAATTAGTCTATTAAAATTTTATTGTGATATGGAACCACAGGAGAAAAAGCTAACTTCAATAGTCTAATGAATCTTTATGATGTAGAATGATCAAAATGACTTACCTCTTTAATGATATAGGCAAAAATTTATGAAAGAAATGTGTTCATTTAAAGAAGGTTTGAAGTTCCATACAGAAGTTTTAAGTTTTATTAATATTTTACTATATCTAGATTAGATTATAATGCTTATTTTTGCTATTTACTTTGTTTATTCAGTACATATGACAATTTAATTTCACTTGTTTTCCTCCATTAAAATACTCCCAAAAGTACACTTCAAAAATCAGCTGATAGAGAAGTGTGTCACAACCTGCTCACTCCAGCATTTCTCTAAATAGAAAGTGAAGTTTGTGTACTCTGTGTTTTCCTCCCAAGTCAGTAATTTATCTCTTCAAGGGCAAGGGCACATTTACTGAAGTGCTGACTTAAATTAAATATTAATATTGACTTACTCCAAAAAAGGAAGTATGCCCCAGTTTAAAAAGAATGAGGAATATTTCAAACCTTAATAKAATGTTCAAATTCTTGAAATAAGTTTTAAAATGAAAAACTTAAGATTTTATATCAAAGTTTGTATCATAGTTTGAAGTCCTAGGATGTTAAGTTAAATTGAACTTTAATATGAATCAAAGATGTGCATCTATATATTTGTATAGCACTCCATTGAACTTAAATTTGAGAGTACTTTTTATCATACTGTAAGTATTGTATCCTATACATTCTGTGTAATGACTTATTCTCTAATATATTATAATTACTGTTTATATAAACTATTACTTCTTTTATAGTTCTAARTAATTAATTATACATTATATTCATAGACATAGTAATGACATTATTGGTTTTGAATAGAATTGTAATTATATCAGAATGATTAGTAGAATCTATCCTATTTTTCCCTGGTACTGTTTTAAATCCTGGGGTGATCTAACACTAAGCTACATGGCAATCCCTTTTAATTTTTATTTTGAGTAAATTGTTAAGACTGGCCTTGAACTTGCTATCTTCCTGCCTCAATCTTCTGAATTTCTAGTATTACAGGCATGTGCCACTGAATTCAGTCTAGAATACTTTAAATTAATTCAGGGGATAAACAAAATTGCAAAAAGCTAGGGTCATACTAAAATGAACATCAATATTCTATGACCAGTGTATTAACTATCACATTACAAAATAACAAGATGGTAAGAACAAAAAAAATATTTTATTAGTGTCTAAAAGAGTACTTGAACACATTTTTTACTATTAATTTTGTTGAACTGGTAGTCCTGTTTTTATTCCCTAAAGATCACAATATAAAATATAGACAGAAACAAAATTAAAACAAAGTTTACATAAATATTTCCGTAAAGGCAAGAACATTTTTTACCCAAGTAAATATATTCCCTGCTACCAAAATTTGTTATTGGATATCTTTTAAAATGTAGTTTAATGATCAAATTGGGGTCACTAGCATATTTATAACCACAAACATTTATCAGTGCACAATGTATATATGTACCAAAATTTCAAGTAATGTGAGTCATTATCTTATGTCAATTAGAAATTTAAAGAGAACTTCAAGCAAATTGTGTGTTTTATACTAAGGTATGTCTCTAAATCAGAGTGCACAGAAACTTTCTAAGATTAGGTCATATTAACAGAGGAGCACCAAATAATGATAATTTAGGAGTCATTAGGTACTTATTTCTGAAGAAAATTGGGGACACATCTAAAATTTCTTTATTAATAATATTTGTCTATTTTCAATGACATTCTCTAATGTGATTAGAAATTCAGTGGAAATATATTTAGCTGCAAGTTCTTCAAATTTCTTCATAAGAAAGGATACTTTTGAACAGGAATACATCAGTATATTCTGTACTTTCATAATTAATTTCAAGAAACAGCAGCTCTTTTGAATATTGTGTGCTCAAATAATACTAAGTGATAAGAAATGACCATGCTGTTTTGCTAATTGCTCATGAACCATGCACATAACAGTTAACCCTTCTGAACAGACCTTCTATTATGATGTCACAAAAAGATTCTGAACTTAGTGCTGAATCCACCTAGTATTTGACTTATGGTGAATCTAAATCTGCACAATTAGATGACTAAATCCATCTTTTAGTAATACCAGATATCACCCACCTGCAAGAACCTCTACATAATTCTTTTTTGTTTTTTGCTCCAAAACAAACTACACATTAAAACATACAATTGAAGCCTAATCTTTTTTTTAAATAATATTTATTTTTTAGTGGACACAATATCTTTATTTTACATTTATCTGGTGCTGAGGATCAAACCCAGTGCCTCATGCATGCTAGGCGAGCACTCTACCACTGAGCCACAATCCCAGCCCCAAAGCCTAATCTTATTTAGCATGTTATCTAATATGAAGACAAATAAAATTTCTAATTTTTCTGTTATTAAAAGACAATGAAGATACAGAGAAAATAAACACTATTGATTAAATAACATTTGTTTGTTTGTTTTACTGTAAATGAAGAGTTTTTGCTGTTGTTTTCATTAGTAGTTTTTTTTATACATCATGGCTGATATTTGTAATTTTTAGTAAAGAATWGGATATACTTTTTGTTTCTTCAATTCTTGAATGGTTAAAACTTTACAGAATACACATAAACCATATATGGATTTATATTATTATAAAGTTGAAAATCATTTGCTTACTAGGAACTTCATTCTAATCTATAGAACACCACATGTTCACATAAATCAGAGTAAAGAAAGAACTAATTGAAATTATGCAGTTTCTTATTTTGATATTCACAAAGCATAAGATTAGGTTATTTCATTTGCTCATATTAATGAATAATTAACAAAGGGGCTGGCACATGTGGTATCTGTAAACTAATTGGCTTAGAATACAACTATTATTATGTCTTCTCAGGTTTTGTTGTCAACTCATTTTGCTCAACTTGACCTATAAATCCYGAGATGTTTAGATTAAGTTTTAGATATTCTTTATGTCTGACTTATTTGCCAACATCAGCCTATTACTCCTTCATTATCTCCTCTGCTCCCATGGTTTTTCTTACCGTCCATCTGACAATTAATCACAAATATGTATATGTGGTACAACAGTGACATGCATTCAGTTTTATAATTAAAAAAATTCTCAATACATATTTGATTACTTCCTCTACCTTGCCCTCATATATATAATGAGCCCATTAATTCTACTTTCCAAATCTCTTTCATGTATCCCTTTTCCTTGAACTCTACTGCTACAATTCCAATCAAAACTACTCTCCATCTTTTCTTTGAAATGCGGCAATAGATCATACTGCTAAAAAAGGCGTGGCATGGAGGCCGGGTAGGCCGGAATTTCGTTAGCTGTGGGAAAAGATGGCGGAAAATTTAAAAGGCTGCAGTGTGTGTTGCAAGTCTTCTTGGAATCAGTTGCGGGATCTGTGCCGCCTGGCCAAGCTGTCCTGCCCTGCCCTTGGCATCTCTAAGAGGAACCTCTATGATTTTGAAGTCGAGTACCTGTGTGATTACAAGAAGATCCGAGAAAAGGAATATTACCTGGTAAAGTGGTGTGGATACCCTGACTCAGAGAGCACCTGGGA